GCTTGATACTCTAAATCCATATTCAAAAGCAGTAAGGACATAGGTCTTTTAGAAGACCATTAAGCCCAGATTCAAAATCAGCCCGACTCTTATGATAGATAATGTATTTGTGTGTGTGTGGTATTTGGTGAAGTGGGATCTTTGTTGTTCTTCCAGCTTCTATCAGCACTTTTTTTTGGGGGGGGGGGGCACACAAATGGTTGACAAAATCACCCATTTCCCCTATCATTCCTTCAGCCCTGGCAGAATTTGAGAGAGAGAGAGAGAGAGAGACACTCTTTGCTTGCAGAATCAGAGCAGTCATGGGTAAAGATCCATCTATACCAGGGGTCCTCAGCCTTGGGAGTTGAAGTCCACAAGTCTTAAAGTTGCCAAGGTTGAGGACCCCTGATCTATACACATACTTTACTGGGCAGTATCTACCTCTACAGCAGCTCACAATCAGGAAACCAAGATTCAAAGTAGCATATTTATTGCAATGAGCAAAGGATTAGCTTACAGAATCCTGAAAATAAGATATGTATATTTTGATCCTCATTTATCAAGGAGTACATTAAGACAGACCCTCAAAGTTATTGGTGAAGATGTTAATTGCTGCCTTCCACAAAAATGTCCTNAATAATAATAATAATAATAATAATAATAATAATAATAATAATAATAATAATAATAATAATAATAATAATAATAATAATAGTAAAGTTGGAAGGGACCTTGAAGGTCATCTAGTCCAACCCCCTTCTCAGGCAGGAAACCCTATACCATTTCGGACAAATGGCTGTCCAGTCTCTTCTTAAAAACTTCCAGTGTTGGAGCTCCTCGGTGCCTGGCCTGGGCATGCGAGGCAGCTCGAGGCTTTCAACCGCTGCTCCAGAGGATGTCTCGGGTACTCAACCCACATGTTGGGGAGGGAAACTGATGGCGCAGAAAGTGGTCGCTCCTCAGGCACAGCAACCGCAATGATGCTGTCCCCGGCCTTGGCCGGATGGCGTGCTGACTGCGCTTGAGATGCCCGGAGTGAAGAATGGCTGTGGCAGCAACCTGCTTTCCCCTTTCACGGCTGCAGAAGTTTCCCAGGGGTGGGAGCCGCTGGGTGGAGGCCACAAAAGGAGAGGACCCCGGCACGAGCCACGTGGGGCCATGTGGTGGGACAATCCACTGATTCCCCGCCTGGCAGGTGGGATCACAGACTGGCCGAGGCCAGGGAAGCTGTCATTGCAGCACTGGGGGTCACGCGTTACTGAGGAGGGAGGAGGGCTGGCTGGGGTCAGGCTGGCTGTGGGTGAAGCACTGCCCAAGGGGGGAATCTGACCAGCCTGGAGGGGGGAGAGGCCGAGGGAGCCCAAAGGGAGGCAGGCGCAGTGCTTGGGGGTAGCTGCTCTCCCCTCCTGCCCTGCACTCCCACAGAAGGGCTGGCTGGCTCCGGCGTCACCTGGGCAAGACTGGCCGCGCATCTGCCCAGTGGTGCTGGTGGGCCCAGCTTTCCTTCCTTCCTTCCTTTCCTTCCTTCTCCCTCCCCTCCTTCTCTCCCTTTCTCCAAAGTCCACTCACATGCCCTCCTTTCCCCGCTAGCCTTCTGCAAAGCGCGCAAACGAACACCATGTTCTACTTGTCTTCTCCAAACTCACACCCACCATCACTTCCAAAGGCTGTCTGCTCGCTCACTTGCTCTCACTGCACTCCCGCCAAAACCTGCTTTTATACTATTCCCCTCCCCACCCAGCAATCGCAGCTGTTCCCGCAAGAGCGCTGCTGAATTCGGTTTCCCTGCCCTCTCCAGTTTCCACTAGTCAGATACACGTGGAGAGGGGGAGGGGAGCGTCCCTCTGGCACGTGTGCTGAAGGAAAGGGCTCTGCGTGCCCAGTCTGGCACGTGTGCCACAGGTTCGCCACTACGGCTTTATGGTGTATAGTAATTATGTTTGCATTGTTATAATAGTGGTGAGATATGCAGGGCTTTTTTTCAGCCGGAACGCGGCGGAACCGCGTTCCGGCACCTTTTTCCGGGCCGGCCGCACCGGAAATAGCCCCTCCCACACCGGAAATAGCCCCTCCCAAATTTTACTTGCATTCCTGTTCTCTAAAGGGGCGGTCCTAGGGTTTGATGAGGGCGTGGCCAGGTTTGAGTTCCGCCACCTTTTCTCC